GGCTTTCAGTTTATTAGCTTAATTCTCTGGAGATTTCAAAATACATTATGAATCTGTATTACAGAAGAATGTCTTAATTTTTAATTGTTTTTATAATAGTAAACTATAAATGTTAGTTCTATCTCATTAAACAGATATTTTAAAAGGTTTCCATTTATTTATTTTATTTTTTATTGTTATGTTAATCACCATACATTACATCATTAGTTTTTGATGTAGTGTTCCATGATTCATTGTTCGTGCATAACACCCAGCGCCCCTCGCAGAATATGCCCTCTTTAATACCCATCACCAGGCTAACCCCTCCCCCCACACCCTCCCCTCTAGAACCCTCAGTTTGTTTTTCCCAGTCCATCGTCTCTCATGGTTCGTCTCCCCCTCCGACTTACTCCCCTTCATTCTTCCCCTCCTGCTATCTTCTTTTCTTTTTTCTTAACATATGTTGCATTATTTGTTTCAGAAGTACAGATCTGTGATTCAACAGTCTTGCACAATTCACAGCGCTCACCATAGCACATACCCTCCCCAGTGTCTATCACCCAGCCACCCCATCCCTCCCACTCCCCACCACTCCAGCAACACTCAAGTTTGTTTCCTGAGATTAAGAATTCCTCATATCAGTGAGGTCATATGATACATATCTTTCTCTGATTGACTTATTTCACTCAGCATAACACCCTCCAGTTCCATCCACGTCGTTGCAAATGGCAAGATCTCATTCCTTTTGATGCCTGCATAATATTCCATTGTGTATATATACCCCATCTTCTTTATCCATTCATCTGTCGATGGACATCTTGGTTTCCATTTATTTTATGTAGTCAGTAAGATGTCAAAAAATGATATGCTGCAAATACCTACCTTTTGTTCACTTTTCCATTCCTTTTGATGCTATTAGTTTGAAAGAAGTCTGTACCATTACTTCTTACACTAGTGTAACTTAGGGCCACGATCTATATTCATCTTCATTTCTAAAGTCCTTTTTCAAAGACTCACTATTTTAGGATTAAATAACTATGTATACATAAACCTTCATTGTATAAACTGTATACAAATGCCACTATTTGACTAGTTTATAATTTTCAAATATCATGAATTTTTTGTAATCTCTGATTTATTTGCCTTTATGTTTCTGCAAAAATATAAGGGAACCAAGTAGACAGTGATTTGGCCACGGTGCAGTGCAGTTTAGAGTCTAGTTGAGGAAATGAGAATGTCTGTTCTGTTCATAATTTGATTTCAATTCAGCCAATGTTTTTTCAAAATACACCATTAGTAAAGCTTTGTATTCAGATTTATGTGGCATACAAGATGAAAAAGACATTACATCTGCCACTTAAATATTCATAATTTAATGGAACAGAGAGACTGGCATAAAAATCTGATAAGTCAAGCAGTTGAATTCAGAATATAAAGGGGACAAGATGAATTCTACCTGAAAATGAGGAACCGGGAAGAAATCGTGTGATAGTAGGATTAGAGCTAGACATTTACATTTGCAGGACATTTCTGTAATAAAATAAAATGGGGAGACATGCAATCTGTTAGGTCCAAGAACCCAAGGTTAAATGTGCAGAGTAAGAGGTAATAGCGAAATTGGATTTAATTATTATAATTAACATTTTATGAGGCATATTTACGTTGCATAATGCTCTACTTAGTTATTGTGATACATTTGTGAAACCAAATATGACCAGATTATAGCAAAATAAAGTGAACAAAATTATCCATTATTTGCCTGCCTTTTATTACTTTACTTTTGCCTGTCCCTCAGCTGAGTTTGTTGCCTTGTGTCCTGAGACATCCAGCTGTGGTGATCCAACCCCATAGTCACCATGGTATAGTATTAAGTGTGCAAGTTTGAGAATCCAACCACCTGGAGGTGACATCCAATCTTCACTGCTCCTAAGTGAGTGATGTTGAACAGGTTATTTAAACACTTGTCACTTTATTATTTTCACATATAAAACTAATAGGAAAGGATACTTACCTCAAAGAATAAAATGCAATAATGGATGTAAAACTGTCTTAATCATAATAACTACTTGGACGTTGATGACGAAGGTGCTGCCCCCTGCCACGGGCGTGGTGGTAGTGCCATGGCCATATAATTAACGTATTTAATGTATGCACTGAATACTTAGGTTTCAAATGTCAGCGATCTTTGCTCAGATATCCTCTTCTCAGTGAACCTGATCAGACCAACCTTTTAAAAAATTACAGTCCTCTCCCTGCAACCACACTCTGCCCATTTCTGCTTTATATTTGTTCATGAGACTTATCACCGTCTGTCCTACTATACATTTTATTTACTTCATCCCTGTTTTCCCTAACTGAGATGTAAACTCTATGAAGGAATGGATTTTCTTCTACTTTTGTTCACTGCTCTATCACTAATGCTTAAGAGAAGTGACCATCATTATTTGAATATTTTTTACTGAATGAGAGCTTCCAGGGCCCTAGGTAAGCCAGCTAACATAGTCAAGCTGTTATGATTCATGGGACTTGTCCGTACCTACCCTAGGTGATATGTATGCATTTCCAGATTATCTCCAGAAACAAAACCTTAACCTCCTTATTCTAAAGGTGGAAGCTCCTGATCCCATGCCATGTTGGAGAAGGCGTAGGTAAAATTTTGTCAGTTGTGTTTTACAGAGGTCCTGCTGAAGAGTGCTGAGCTGAGGTACCTCTCCCTCTGCTACTCTGACATCTTACTGTCTAGTGCATATTATTCTTGGATATTTAATATATTTTGCACCGAGTCTGAGGTGCATGGGCACATCAGCTACTTAAAACCAGTTTAGGAACAAATGAAAAACTTGACACAGATAAAAAGAATTGCAGTTTGTGTTCCTCGAGGACACAGGTGACAGGGATATTTAAATAGATGTTATACATTGGAGCTTTGCAAATAGGTACACTAGATTCACCCCACCCAAAACCAGTGACAGAGCAGACACCTTTAAAGCAGTCAAAGCAAAAGATGTAACATAGCCATTTATTATTTTAAATCCTGAAACCAAATACATTATGAAAACTATTGTTTGTGTCCTTCTGAGTTTTTAATAGGAAGATTTTCAGTCAGGATATAGCTTGTGATTTACAAACTAGAAAATTAAAAAAAAATATGTCTCAGCGTATGAAATTTCTGCTGGTTTGATATATTTTAATTATTCCAAAAAAATCACTTTATTTTTCTTTCTGGAGATGTAGTCACCCTTATCCTCCTAGAACCTAATTATTGTGTCAGTGGGGAACTTCCTAATGTCTGCCACTTAACTTCCTTGTATAAAGCATGTTGGTATTTTAACAGTGCACTAAGTTGAAATGTCCTAAAATAGAACATATTAAAATTTTGCATTTAAAAATATTGCCAATTAGAAACTAATCTTCCTAAAAGGAGTTTACAGTTGGATCACATTATGTGCACTCAGAACTCTGGACTACAAAAAAAAAAAAAAAGATAAGTTAATATTTTATTTCTGAAAGTAAAATGCTAAAAATGGCTACAAATGAACTAGGTAATTGTTTGGCAGATAGCACGGAAAAGACGTCTGTGCGAGGCACTTTAATTCCACAGTGTTTACTAAATATCTAACCCACAAGTGGCACTCTCCATGTTATGAGAACAACCAAATTCCTTAGTCACAGAATGGCCTTAGTTCAGTAGCCAATTCCCCTTGTCTTGCTGGCTTCATTTAGCATAGGAACCAGGTATTTTGTTTTAAAATACATTATCATGTTTAAAATTCATAACAGTCCTGTGGGGGTATGCATGACCATTTTAGAGATAAGAAAACAGTTTCAAAAGTGTTCAATTTTTCGATGAAATTCTGACAGCTGTAGGTGAGACAACCAGAAATCAAACCCAGACATTCTGCCTCCAAGTCTAGGACTTCCTTCACTATACTACAGCCTCCTTTCTTTATGACTTGGTATTCTTCCTGGCATTTACTATAATGTAAAGTATTCTTTGTCACTTGGTATCCAGATTGCTTTAACTCAGAGTTAAGAAATCATTGACTCATATAATGGTCTGTCATAGACACGCCTGATCCACAGAGCTGCCTATTGAGACTTATTCTCAAAATTCAATATTCTCTAACTGTGAACAAGACCAGTCCAACAAAACCAGAACAAATTTCGTGACAGAGTCTTTTTATCTTTCTTCCAGCATCATTCATTAGACAAGCAGTAAAGTGCATGTGGTCTATCTTCTGGCACTCTCTGATGTCTTATGTATATTCAGTAGCCCTGATGTTGTTATTTGATCAATAATTTCCTTATATTTCTTTGATACTCATTAGAGTTCATAGTGCCTTTAAGTGTTAGGCATTGTTTTCCTCTTTTCATAGGTGAGAAAATTGAGGTGTAAAGATAGAAAGACAGTCATAGAAGGTCATGTGGGTAACAATGGAGAAAAAAGGAAAAAAATCCAGTTTTTAACTCCAAATCTTATAGTCTTTCCACTACACTAACTCCCATGTTTCTTTTTTTTTTTTTTAAGATTTTTATTTATTTTAGAGAGAGAGATTGAGAGAAAGAGAGAGTGCACGAGCAGGGGGAGAAGCAGGGAGAAAGGGAGAGTCTTAGGCAGACTCCTCACTGAGCACAGAGCCTGATGCAGGGCTTGATCCCAGGACCCTGAGATCATGACCTGAGCCAAAACCAAGAGCGGACACTTAACCAACTGAGCCACCCAGGCGCCCTAACTCTCATGTTTCTTACTTACACAATCAATGACATTATACTGCTCAGATATATAGTGTAAATATTAGAAGTACATGGTCTTTCCGTAATGCTATCAGCAGTGATTTGGGATAAAAGAATCCATATTTTTCCCTGAAAGTTTGTGCCATGAGATACATTGTTCCTAATGAAGCAAAAGATGGTAGATTTTAGAAGTGAACCACTTAGTAGAATAATAAATACTATTTATCAATTATTTAGTGTCACCATCACCAAAGGAAGCTGGGACAGACTTAGGCAAACTTAGAAAAATTAGTTCAGCAATTTTTATGTACAATCATTAGGACACAAAAGTATTACCTCAAAGAAATGATCAATTATTTTGTTCTTTTGTTTTTTCAATAGGGACTATGTATTTAGCATTGTTGTTACCAGCAGACTACTTGGGTTTGACAGCTAGCTTCACCAATAGCTGAATGAAAACTTGACCAACGATCTGTGATCTTCTAGTTTTCTCATCTGTAAAATGGGGATAATAAGAGTGCCTATTGTGAAAAAAAAAACAATTAGGGACCTGTGAAAGTGTTCACCTTAAGGAGGTCATTTTTGCTAATAAACATACATGTTCCTAGATCAAGCTCCTTACTCAAGTGCAAATTGAGGATTAGCAATTAGTTATGAAGTTATAAATTCCCTCAGAGGATCTAAATAAGTATAAGGTTCTAGAATAACATGGTTCTATGGACTGACTCTGGACAGGTGACTGTTAACCACCTGAAGGCTAAGCAGAAGCTAGTCTTGTAGAAGCATCTATGTGGGTAGAATGCTCTAGGTGGAGGGAACAGCATATGCAAAGGCTCCGAGGTGACAAAGTTTAGTGAAGTCGGAGCTTAGTGAGCGAGAGGGAGAGTGGCAGGAGAAGAAGACAGAGAGTGAGACAGACCTTGGATCATATAGGTTCTTGGGTGTTTCTGGAAGGAGTTAATGGAAAGATATTGAAAGGTTTTAAGCAAGAATGGCCTCCTGTATTAAGTAGAGAAGACTTAGTGATTAGGGTTGGGTACGAGTCTGTGTATTTCTTTAATTTGAGCTGCTAATTGACCATGAAGAGTGACAATTAAAAACCTAGCTCACCCTACTTAAGCTTTATACTGGGAAATGGTCACTGGGACCATATAGGCAATTTCAAATTGGATACCGTAACACAAAGAAACCAAACCTATTTGGGGATGTATGAGAACCTTGCACTGAGTTTCACCTGCTGTAAGTGATGGATTAAGCTGATGCTCTTAGCGGACTGGGTTACAGAACAGAAAGAGGTAGAAGCAGATGGAACATCGCCCTCCCTGTCATGAACCCAGAGAGTAAAAGGAGGAAGGAAACCCTCTTTTGCCCACAGATTTACAAACAATACAAAAACTAAATAATATTCTAAGATGGTACAAATGCAGATACTGTTCCCTTGTGTCAATGACAACAGGGTGCCTAAATATAGAGAATGGTAATTCTTATTAAAGATTTCCATGAACAAATAGTTCACTGAGTTCACTGCCTATAGTTTTGAGGAATATGAACTCCTGAGCAAGGGCCCCAGTTAGGAGATACCCATTGGTGGTGGTTGCGATGTGGAGGTTCTTTTACCCATTGATGGTGGTCGCGGTGTGGGGGTTCCCTGGAGGTTCTGAATTCTTACGTGAGCTAGACTCAATATCACCTTGGGAGAAGACCAGTAAGGAGATGGATTCATCAGTCCAGGGGTGGAAAATGTGGACTGACTTGAGGAAGTTTTTGTAGTAAAAATGACAGGACTTGCTGATGGATTGAATTAGATATGGGATTTGAGGCCACAGAGGAATTGGGAAAACTCCTAAGTTTTTCCAAATTTTTCCTTTGTCGTATTCACCTATGTGGAAAAGGCATGCAATTTGTGATTCAGTTTATTTTTTATAATTATAAAAATGATGTTTAAAGCCTTAAGATGTGATTTGAAAAATTCCTCATGATACCAGATTTTCATTTTTAAATTTTCCTTTCTAGCCTTTATCCCAAAGTAGTTTTCATAACTGAAAATGTAGTATACCCATACTGGAATTTTCCTGTTTTCACTTAATAATAGGCCATAAGTGGTCTTACATCATCTCTATATAATTTAATAATTTTGATGACTGCATGCATATATATTCTCTTAAGGTCATATCTTTAATTAAATTAACCATCTCCCATTATTACTTGTCTAAGAGTAATAAAAAAATATCATTGAGTAAACCAGACCTGATTTTTAAAAGGATGCTTTTTGATCTTTCAAAATTAGACACAATATTAACAGGTGGGCTTAGATAGTGAGCAATTTAATGTCTTTCTCAGAAAACTCATTTCTTAGCATAGTTTATAATCTGAGAGTTTTAAAATGCTGCTGAAACTGGCCTATTGTTTTGTTTGCTTACTTTAACAAGTTCTTTTTCAGTGTTAGAGCAAAACATGACTTTAAAATGTCATCTGCAGAAGTAGTTAATGATGATGAAAATGAAGAAGGAGAAATGTCAAGCTTGCTGAGTTATTCTAGCACCAGTTCTTGAGATAGGAGGGATAAATCTCCTTTCCTCCAATCGATAATGTAACACAAATATAAGAGAAGATGTGCGGCTGTTTGAGAGATGCAGAAACTGTAGACTTTGGGAAGGCCAAGTGGGGGTGGTGTGTTCAGGGTACTTCCATCACATAGGGCAATTGTTGCACAGTTGGCCTGTCTTGATTGGTTGGGTAGAGTAAAGGAAGAATTTGAAAGCTCTTATGTAATGATTGTAACCAGAATTTTTGTTTGTTTCCTTTTGCTTTAGACTGGGGCATAAGTTTGTTTTCTTTGTTACTTTTGGGGTTTGTGTTGATTTGTTTTGAATATTAATTTTGCCTCAAGCTGTTAAGAGCTCTTGAGATATATTATAAACATAAAGTAGTAAAATTTTTCCCTAAAATGATGCTCATAATGATGAATCTGTAACTTCAAGTCAAGGCTAAATTATGTCCAAAGGCAGAGGGGAGTCTGATGAAATTTGCAACCAAAAAATAATAATATATAATGAAAAATTACTGTGTTCAAATGTGTGACCTTTGATTACACAGAACTGAATAAAACAAGAACCCATCACTATTGAAGATAGAGAAGCCATTTTTTATTTTCTGCACATGAATAATGATAGAATCATTGGAGGATTTTTTTTATTAGTTATGATAATTTGATACAGGGGCATAGAGAAGTCCCTTTATGTATGATGTGGGAGAAAACTTAGAAAAAGCTAAACAAGATGAAAGTTACTTTGAGTAGATGTAGGAGCTCTAGATTTGCACTGTCCAATACAGTAACTATATAGGGTTATTTAAACATAATTAAAAAAATAAAATTTAGAATTCAGTTCTCTAGTTGCACTCTCTATATTTCAAATACTCAATAGCCACATATGCTTCGTGACTGCTCTACTGGACAGTACAAATTAGAGACTATTTCCGTCATGGCAAAACATTCTACTAGACGCTGCTATTCTAGATGCAATTTATACATTCATATCCCCTCACCTTTTATTTTATTATCATTATTTTTTTTAAAGATTTTATTTATTTGGGGCACCTGGGTGGCTCAGACGGTTAAGCGGCTGCCTTCGGCTCAGGTCAGGATCCCGGGGTCCTGGGATCGAGCCCCACGTCGGGCTCCCTGCTCGGCGGGAAGCCTGCTTCTCCCTCTCCCACTCCCCCTGCTTGTGTTCCCTCTCTAGCTGTGTCTCTCTCTGTCAAATAAATAAATAAAATCTTTTTTTAAAAAAAGATTTTATTTATTTATTAGAGAAAGAGCATGAAAGAGAGAGAGAGAGAACAGGGCGGGGATAGGGTCAGAAGGAGAAGCAGACTCCCCGCCATGCTGGGAGCCCGACGCGGGACTCCATCCCAGGACCTCGGGATCCTGACCTGAGCCGAAGGCAGACGTTTAACAACTGAGCCACTCAGGCGCCCTACATAATTTTTTCTTATATCCAATATTTATGAGCTCCAATCTTCAGTTATTAATTCTAAAGTAACATACAAAGTACACATGTATGCATGTACCCATTCACATAACGTTATATAATACCTGTTAACATGTCAATAGCTATGATAAGGATCTATAGCCCAAGTGCCTCCCCATCCTCCTGCTCCCATTTTGTAGAATATAGAACATGAACTATAGTTTCATATGATACTCTGTTTTTAATTTTTTGTCATTTATTGGCACAGAAGAGTTTGTCATTCAATTAACAATGCTTATTCTGCAAATATTTCTTATATTTTGGATATTTCTCATTAATAACATGAAACTTTTCTGGCAGCTTTTTTAGGCCTATGTGAGCTTATGAACATTCTTTGCTACAACATGGTATTCAAACTAGGTTACGTACAGTCAGATTGAAAGAGCTACCTATGCTCAGGGGCATAGGGTGATAAATGCCCTCACAATTAGTTTAGTATTTTCCATGAATATTCTTGTATCTGATGGACATTTTATCAGGTTTATTATACAATCATATTATTTTAGTATGGCTATTGAGTAATGTCCTTTGGGGACTTGCTACTGCAAAATAATTTTTATATGAAATGAGTCGAATGGGACATTTTAATTTGTATTTATTTTAATAACCTATTCAGTCTAATAACTGCGAAAGGAAATTCTTATGCATAACTCTTGATCACAGACATTGAAGCTTTAAAATGGAGGGTTGGTTAGACAATGCCTTGAGGGAGTAACTGTAATGTACACTTGAAGAAAATATTTGAAATTTTTATTGGATAAAATAAAGCAGTTTCACTCAGCAGCTAACGAGAAGTCACCTTTTATTGAGTTGCTTTCCAATAGAATAAATATGCTCTTTTCTTAACTGCTGGATGAATTCAAGTTGCAAAATGCAGTTTTAGAGTTTGCCTGCAGCTATTACAACCTGCATCAACTGTTATAATCCTATATTCTTGGGTTAAAGCATATTTTGTGAATTACTTACTTTTAGTAAGAGAAGATGGTGGCCATAAATCCAAAACTACTTAATATTCTTTAGAGACAGTTCTGAAATGAATTAAAAAATACTGTTTGTTATGAAATAAGAACAGTAAACAATTTGTATAACTACTGAATTTGAAACTATAATTAAAAATTTAAATGACATTTTAAGAAAGTGAGAATTTTTCATTTTGCCTGAAATGTGGCATAAAAATCCTTCAACACATAAAACAACAAAAAAGTAAATGATATTTTAGAATCAATTAATTTGTCTCATATGAATGATTTAATAAAGCTTATGTTCAAATAATCAGCTTTTTTAAAAGATGTATTTATTTTGAGAGAGAGAGAGAGAGAGAGAGAGCACATGTGTGTGCGTGCACAGGGGTGGGGCGGGGGACAGAGGGAGAGAGAGAATCTATAGCAGACTCCCCGCTGAGCGCAGAGCCTGACGTGGGACTCAGTCTCATGGACCTGAGATCATGACCCTGAGATCGTGACCTGAGCGAAAATCAAGAGTCCACCCCTTAACCGACTGAGTCAACCCCAGCTTTTTTTTTTTTTTTTTTAATGCAAGCATGGTAATCATGGCCTGTGGCCATACTTATCCATAGCTGTCATCTGAGTTTCACACAATAGTGGCCTAACTGACGGTACTAGTGTTTAAAAAGCCTTTCTCCTTTCATAGTAAATTAAGAGTGATTCTTGGCTAGAGTATATACAGGTTGGTGAAACAGTTTACAGCAACTCATGTAGAATAGTACAAACTAGGGTCAAAACCAAAAAAGCTTTGAGTAATACAAATCTAAGATTTCAGTGGTGTTTTGGAACAATTTTCTATTGAAAAAAACAAAGGAGAATTTTTGTCTTGTTTTTATTTTATTCTTTGTTTTTAGATGTGGATATTGCTGAATTTCTCCTTAGCCTTTTCATTTCTTTCTGGGTTTTGGCTACATTTCTCCATCTCTCCAAGCCTCAACTTACGTCCGTTGTACGATTGGGAGAAGAATTTCTTGGAACTTACTCATGATTGTATTTTAATAAAGTGCTGTCAGGCATACTGAAACCTTTGGAGGGAAGGTAATGCATTCTAAGTGGCCTACTTTGCTCTCCTTTTTGAATTCCATAAGATTTAAGGAGTTCTTCAAGGAAAGGAAAAATGCCTTCTTTCTCTTAACCCTTACTTCTCAGAAATTGTGTGCTGAAAATTAACAGTGAATCTTAACAGCTAGTCAACAATGAAATTTTCAATAGGTTTTTAAAGAAATATGGGAAAATGGTCAAAGGAGAGTAATCTTTAGAAAACTTCATATCAGCCTGCTCTCCCAGGGGGACAGAGTGTTAAACAAATTAATGACTTTCCCCTCGAGGCATTTTCAGGAGGGAATATATATATTCATTTGGTTGGCCAAGTACCAGTATTTCAGGGGGTAGATGATAACTATGAAAGAGGTTTCACAAAGTATCACAGCCCCCTTTGGTCTCCATTTACAATCACTTTCTCATTGGTCAGTTTGTCAAAACTTTCTTTTTGCCACTGACAAAAGAAGAAACACACTTTTTACCTCTCCACTGCCCTTGTATAAATTGTTTATATAATTCGTTTTCAATACAGAAAACAGTTCAAGTGGTCACTTGTTCTAGTGAAAACCCCTGGTATCAACCCATTATTCGTGGAACAAAGTAGAAGCATTTTTATAACTATTATTCAGACCCCAAGTTACTATAGTGAAATGCCACTCTAATACAGAATTAAGCCCACAATAAGCACCGAATAAATACCTGCTTTGCACTGATTATCTGAATGTAAAAGTATCTCATTGTGTGAGAATGAATTCGGTGCAGCACCATAACATTTAGACTCATTTTCCCAGAACCATCTTTATAGTAATATTGCATGTTCTCACACAGTTTAGTCATAAATATGGGTCATGAGGAATCTTGGAAGGCATTTTTTTCTCTGTAGTTGGCCACGTCTTAGAGCTCCTTTTAACAGGCTCAGTGAGTACAGTGTTGGCAAGCACACGTGGGAAAGACAGGCTCACCCTACCAGTGAGGTAAGCAGAGAAATTTAAGCCCTCTAGCCTCTCATATTTGACACTCACAAAGGGAAATTAGGAGTAAAACTAAAAATAAATACAATCCCTCATAAACAAACTACATGAAAAATTGAACTGTTCTCAAGTGTCTTCAACCTTCTAGCAACTAAAGATATTTTTTGAGTGGTTATTTTGATTTAGCAGAGGAAAAACAGGAAAAGAAATGGTCCCAGGGTGGATAAGTATCGGTAGCATTGCTATCAGCTGAGGTCATCCGAGACAACAAAAGGGAAAAAGGTTCCTAGAAGAAAATGAAGTTGTTGGATTTCTTAAATTATAAGATGAATTACTTGGCAAAATCAAGCATTACACTTTGTACATCGTTCATTGAGGTTTAAAAATTGATGTAGGTTGACTGAAGTAAAGAAGAGATTTTGTGGCTCTAAAAATTGTGTTAAGAAACATTAAGGTTCGATTTTGACTGAATAATTTTTGCCGAAGATTTGTTTAATTTTAACTGATAAGCATGAGAAAATCTAAAAACATTTCCTTGGACTTCTGTGAGTGTGAAGGCAATAATTCATATCACCTTGCCTGCCAAATTCAGAAACACTATAAGAAAAGTTATTCTGAGATCTCAAAATAGTTTAAAAATTTGAAAATATACCGATCACAAAGAAAATATTTACATTTTAATTCTCCAGATTGAAAAACCAAATGTAAATAAATGGTTTTGGAAATCCCCAAAAGTCCCTTCGAGACCGTCCAATAGTTTTCCTAGAGAGGCTGTTCATTCAATATATTTTGTTTGAGAGCCCCTCAATAATATGCCAGGAACAATATATTCTTGGCCCTGAGGATAAATTAGTGAAAAAAGTAGACAGAAAGTACTCTCATCATGAAGCATAGTGGGTAGAACCAGACAATAAACAAAATAAATAAGTAAACGATACAGTAAGATAATAGGTACTTTGGAGAAAAATATACCAGGGAAGGGGATAGAGAGTGGGAGCTGGAAGGAAGTCCCATTTCCAGTTGTCAGGGATGGCCTCACCAAGGGCATGACTTCTGAATAAAGACATGAGGGAATGAGCCTGCCAAGCAGCAGAAACAGCAGGTACAAAGGCCCTGAGGCAGGATACCACCTGAAGTATACCAGGAAGAACAAGGAGGTGATTACAGTAGAATGAGATGACATCAGAAAAGCCATTTGAAGGACTTTGGCTTTTATCCTTTGTGAGATAAAAAGCCATTGGGAGATTTTGTGGAAGGGATATTTATAGCATTTTAATAGTATCTGTCTGGCTGGTGTGTTCAAAATAGAATGAAGTGGCCAAGAGTGGAAGGGAGAGGACAGGTTAGGAGGTCTTTGAAGTAATCCAGGATTTGGATGATGGCAGCTTTGGATCAACATGGGGGCAGTGGAGGTGTGTGAAGTGCTTGTATGATCAAGTGTTTTGAAGCAGAGCCAATAGGATTGGCTAGGAGATTTATGTGGGTTGTGAGAGAGAGCCAAGTCAGTCATGACTCTAAGGAACTGGGGATAATGTTCCGGCATTGTCTGGAGACATACTGGGGTGTCACAACCGGGGAGGATGCTATATGCATCTACCAGATGGAGGCAGGTGCTGCTTGACCTGTGATGCACAGGACAGCTGTCTCCAACCAGAGATTACTGGGCTTCAGATGTCAGCAATGCTGAGAAATTTTGCACTAATGCTGAGAACCTGGACTGAGGTTTTTGGCCGGAGCAACTGGAAAGATGGAGCTGCTGGTAACGGTATGAGGAGACTGCTAGTGGAGCAGTTTGGGAAAGTGACATCAGGAATTCTGTCTCTTTCAGGTCCCTGTTAGATTTTTCAGGAGACCAGTTTCACATATTACAATGCTATAAAGTAAAAATGAGATTATGGTTTATCCATTTTAAAATTATATTTAAATGGTGCCTTTAGAAATTAAATCCCGACGACAGAGAAACGGTGTCTCCAACTATGCCCATGTCCTCAGTAAGGCTGAACACAGGTTCCAATATCTCAGAAGCATAAGACAAGCATGAATATAGTGTCTGTATTACTTTTCTCCCAGCTGCTTCTAGTACACTATTTGAAATAATACAATTCTAATCTTAGAAAATTCTGTATTATCATGTTGATAAACACATTTTATAGCTAAAGGATAAAAGTTATAATGAATGTTTTTCCTAGTACATTATAGTTCTATCGTTTGACTCAGTCTGATTTTTATGAAGAGGAAATGTTCATGCTAGAAAGACTGGAAAATGAGAGATTATGTGAAAGGAGACCCTCCCCTTTTACATGCTTTCTCTATTTTGGATCCAGGGCTAATACCACACATTTCTCCAAGCAGCATTTCTGATAGCTTAGAAGATATCTTTTTGAGGCCATCCTTAAAAATAATTGGTTTCTTTTCACCTATTAGTCCTTTAAAATAGCTTCCTTTTCCCTTGAAACCCAGAATGCTTGCAGCTAAACAAGCAGCTACAAGGACAGTATGGCTTGTTGCTAGGGGAAGTTGGCCTTATTACTTGTCAGCCAAGCTTGGTAGGTTATGTGGAAAAAATGGAATGTGCTTAACCTAAGATTTTAAAGTCTTTCAACTTTGCAGCTGAATGCCTAAAATTGAATTTCTTAATTAACTTCCAAGTTGTGACTGTCCCTCTCATTCTCTCCCTGCATGCATTCCTTTCTCTAGGGGAAGAAGCTAATCAGGAAATACCTTATACCTGCCCACTGGCCACAAAGCAAGGAAAATATAGATGCTAGCGATTTAACTCAGTCTCAAACTGTAGTTAACGCTGCTCAATGTTTCCCAGTTTTTGTTTCCAAGTGTCAAATTTTCTCTTGAAATACTGTGTTCAATTAGCTTTAAAACACATCTCTCATGTAAACATAACAAAACAGCCAGAATGATTAATTCACAGCTACTGGTTTCAATAACCCAGATGTCCAAGGCTGCAAGTAGTGAAATGGTGTGACTCGGTGAATTAATTTAAAAGAAAATCTGTACATGGGGATTTTTTAGAAAGCTGTTGGTAGACATAATCCTCTGTATTATTTTTAGAGTTCCAGTTTCTAGCCCATTTGGTATTTTGAGAGTTTCGGTTCATCTTCACTTATACCACCTTTTATTAAGACTTCGGGAATAGAGACAGTCATAGACAAATGCTATGATGCCTGTGGCTTCTATTTTCTTATTTCTTATTAAGATATCTAAACTCAGGCATTGGATCAGAAACATTACAAAAATGACTGATGCATGTTATAAACCTAGAAAAGCCTTTAGGAGCATGCACAAATTTTGCTTTAAACATGTTTTTTAACAAAACTGTTGTGTGGGCACATCTTTCTGAAATTGAATATAGTGAACCGATAATATGAAAAATAGAAAATACAGATTGTGACTGGTTAATAATAAGCAAAGAAATAGTACAGTTAACTAAAATTCAGTAGTTGGGGACTGAATCTTTCTAAAGATCCGAGGAAAGAGCAGGGCAACCCAATTTCTAGACTCTTCTGGTTTAGCTTTTTCTCTGTGGTCGAGAGAAAATAGCACACAACTCTAATTAATCCATTACAGCTTGCTTATTAAGTCATCATATGGTCCTCCTTTGTTTTGTTTCTTTAGACTTGCAAATTTTCCGAAGCTACACGGTACATGAAAGTTTGATTTAATTTATTAAATATACAGGTTCTGCCTAATTTGCCATTTATTTTCTATTCTTAACATCCATTAATTATCTTACTGAATGAATCCTATATCAGTAAGCTAATTGTGTGTTTCTGTATCCAGTGTCCTAAAGAATCCAATTACCATAAAAGGCAGATAAAAATCTACCAGAAAGACAAAAAAGAGTTTCTTACCTGTTGGCTTGCTGTCTGATTCTGTGGAGGTTTCCAACAATTGTTTAACCTCTTTTTTTCTCATGTGTGTCTAGAAACAAAGAAAAAGAAGTACACTTAAATTGAAGTTAAAGAGTTTGGAACATGTAAATATTATCTGTTGTAAGGGTAAATAAATAAATAACTGCAGAAGAGGAAGGAGTTAAGATGGTGGAGGAGTAAGCGACCCTAATTTCATCTGGTCCCTGAAATTAAGCTAGATAATTATCAAACCATTCTGAACACCTGCAAAATCAATTGGAGGTATGAGAAAATAATTGCTGCAATTCTCCAAATAGAAAAGCAACCACTTTTTGGAAGGTAGGAGGTGTACTGAAAGATTTGGTGGAGGGGAGGGAGCTTGCTTAAGAAGACTATTGCAAAGTATTATAAGCAGTGGAGTGCTAAATCAGAGATTTTAGGAGTCTGCTACCTTGGGGGATGTCCCTGGCTTAAAGGTATTCAGGTGGCAAAACAGGGTGGAATCCCAGGTGGGAGAGCATGATCTCAGGATCCCTGGGGTCACAAGAAGAATGGGGGTGCCTGAGTGCTGCTGAGTTCCGAGGCATCGGAGTGGGGAAGCTGGCTGAAAACAGTGATTCTAGGTGCCATCTTTCCGCTCGGTGTTGCCATAAACTGCGAACCACTGCACGGTCACATGACTGCTCTCCAGGCAGGGGCCCAGCAAAAGGGAGAAACAGGGCAGGACCTCCCTCCTTCTCCCAGGAGGAACAGCTTGGGTCCATGCCACAGGAGTACATAAAGTTTGGAGACTTGAAGCTGGGTCGTGTGCCTGAGATAAAAATGCTCAGTCACAGGCTGGGTAAACACAGAGTTTGGATGGAAACCATGGAGATTGACTATTTTTCTGTGAGGACTCACAGAAGAGTGGAGGGGTGTGAACTTTCAGCTCTGGGGCTAGAGATCTGGGCACTGCCATTTTCATCACCCCCCCATTGGTGCTGAAAGCCTTCAGGGAGCAAAACAATGCCACCTAGTGCAATCCGGAGCACTTACACTGAGCTTGGCCCCCTGGCAAGGAGGCGCAACTCCACTAGGGCAAGGACACCTGAGTATCAGCGCAACAGACCCCTCCCAGTGAAGACCAGCAGGAACAACTCTCTAGCACCAGGTTTACTAATCATACAGAACTGCAAAACTTCAGCTCTTGGGGAAAACAGTATATAGCATTTGTGTTTTCTTTTTTTAAATTCTTTAGTTTTTCAGTTTTATTTTTTTCAGCTATTTTCTTATTTTTTCAATTCTTTTTTAATTTTAATTTTTTTTATTTTTTTATTTTTTATTTTATATAATTTGTATTTTTTTAAAGGTTTTATTTATTTATTTGACAAAGAGAGACACAGCGAGAGAGGGAACACAAGCAGGGGGAGTGGGAGAGGGAGAAGCAGGCTTCCCATGGAGCAGGGAGCCCAATGTGGGACTCGATCCCAGCACCCTGGGATCATGACCTGAGCTGAAGGCAGACGCTTAATGACTGAGCCACCCAGGCGCCCCTAATTTTTATTTTATATATACATTGTATATATATATTTTTGGAAGGAAACCAAAACCAAAAGAAAACTTTTGGTTTCCTTTCATTGTATTTTATTTTACTTTTGTGTATGTATATATATATATATATATATATATATATATATATACACACAAAACTTATATGTATATAAATTTTCTTTCCAGTTTTGCATCTAGTTTCTTTTAACTAGTTTATTGTTTTGTTCTGTTTTACTTTTTAATTTTTTTCTTGTTTTGATTTGTTTGTTTTCTTTTGGTTTGTTTTGTTTGTTTTTTTCTGGTGTTGTTATTTTTGTCTTTTCTCTCTCTTCTGTTCATTTCTGGACATAATGATGAGATGGAGAAACTCACCCCAAAAGAAAGAAAGGAGGATGTACCCCCTGCCAGGGATTTAATCAATATGGATATAAGTAAGATGTTGGAACTAGATTTCAAAACAAGATTATATAGATACTAGCTAGGCTTGAAAAAAGTATAGAAGACACCAGAGAATCCTATGCTGTAGAAATAAAAGAAGCCAAATCTAATCAGGCCAAAATTAAAAATGCTATAACTGAGAGGCAGTCAAAAATGGAGGCTCTAACAGCAAGGAAAATGAGGCAGAAGAGAGAGTCAGTGATATAGAAATGATGGAGGGGCGCCTGGGTGGCTCAGTCATTAAGCATCTGCCTTCGGCTCAGGTCATGATCCCAGGGTCCTGGGATCGAGCCCCACATCGGGCTCCCTGCTCAGCAGGAAGCCTGCTTCTGCCTCTCCCACTCCCCCTGCTTGTGTTCCCTCTCTCGCTGCTCTCTCTCTCTCTCTCTGTCAAATAAATAATAAAATCTTAAAAAAAAAAAGGAATTGATGGAAAATAGGAAAGCTGAGGAAAACAACTACTGGATCACAAAGGGAGACTTTGTGCCAACAAATTAGGGAATGTGGAAGAAAAGAAATGGATGCATTCCTAGAAACATATAAACTATCAAAACTGAAACAGGAAGAAATAGAAAACCTGAACAGACCCATAACCCGCAAAGAAATTGAAGCAGTAATCAAAGATCTCCCAACAAATAAGAGTCCAGCACCAGATGGCCTCCCAGAGGAATTCTACCAAACATTTAAAGAAGAATTAATACCTAGTATTCTGAAGCTGTTTCAAAAAAATAGAAATGGAAGGAAACTTCCAAACTCATCCTATGAGGCTAGCATTACCTTGATTCCAAAACCAGACAAAGATCCCATCAAACAGAAGAATTACAGACCAATATCCCTGATGGACATGGATTCAAAAATTCTCACCAAGAAACTAGCTAATCTGATCCAATAGTACATTAAAAGTATTATTCACCATGACCAAGTGGGATTTATTCCTGCAAGCTTGGTTCAACATCTGTAAATCAATCAATGTGATACACCACATTAATGAAAGAAAGGACAAGAACCATATGATCCTCTCAATAGATGCAGAAAAACCATTTGACAAAGAGACAGCATCCTTTCTTGATAAAAACTCTTTGCAGTATAGGAACAGAGGGTACATACCTCAATATCATAAAAGCCATATATGAAAAACCCACAATGAATACCATCCTCAATGGGGAAAACCTGAGAGTTTGTCCCTTAAGGTCAAGAACATGGCAGGGATGTCCACTTTCACCACTCTTGTTCAACATAGTACTGGAAGTCCTAGCTTCAGCTATCAGACAACAAAAAGAAAGAAAAGGCATCCAGATATGCAAAGAAGAAGTCAAATTCTCCCTCTTCACAGATGACATGATACTCTCTGTGGAAAACCCAAAAAAATTCCACCCAAAAATTGCTAGAACTCATACAGGAATTTAGCAAAGTGGAAGGCTATAAAATCAATGCACAGAAGTCAGCTGCAATTCTATACACTAGCAACGAGACAGAAGAAAGAGAAATTAAGGAGCTGATCCCATTTACAGTTGCACCCAAAACCATAAGATACCTAGGAATAAACCTAACCAAAGAAGTAAAGTATCTGTACTCCAAAAACTATAGAACACTTATGAAAGAGATTGAGGAAGACACAAAGAAATGGAAAAACGTTCCATGCTCATGGATTTGAAGAACAAATATTGTGAAAATGTCTATACTACCTAGAGCAGTCTACACATTCAATGCAATCCTTATCAAAATACCATCAGCATTTTCCACAGAGCTGAAACAAACAATCCTAAAATTTGAATGGAACCAGAAAAACCCTGGATAGCCAACGGAATGTTGAAAAAGAAAACCAAAGCCGGAGGTATCACAATTCCGGACTTCAAGCTGTATTATAAAGCCGTAATCATCAAGACAGTATGGTACTGGCACAAAAACAGACACATAGATCAATGGAACAGAATAGAGAGCCCAGAAATGGACCCTCAACTCTATAGTCAACTAATCTTTGACAAAGCATAAAAAGAATGTCCAATGGAAAAAAGACAATCTCTTCAACAAATGGTGTTAGGAAAATTGGACAGCCACATGCAGAAGAGTGAAACTGGACCATTTCCTTACACCACACACAAAAATAGACTCAAAATGGATGAAAAACCTAAATGTGAGACAGGGATCCATCAAAATCCTAGAGGAGGACACAGGCAGCAACCTCTGTGACCTCAGCTGCAACAACTTCTTACTAGATACATCTCCGAAGGCAAGGGAAGCAAGGGCAAAAATGAACTATTGGGACTTCATCAAGATAAAAAGCTTCTGAACAGCAAAGGAAACAGTCAACAAAACCAAAAGACGACCAACAGAATGGGAGAAGATATTTGCAAATGACATATCAGATAAAGGGCTAGTATCCAAAATCTATAAATAACTTATAAAGCTCAACACCCAAAAAAACAAAAAATCCAGTCAAGAAACGGGCAGAGACATGAACAGACACTTCTCCAAAGAAGATATACAAATGGTCAAGTCACATGAAAAAATGCTCAACATCACTCGGCATCAGGGAAATACAAATCAAAGCCTCAATGAGATAACACCTCACACCAATCAGAATGGCTAAAATTAACAAGTCAGGAAAGGACAGATGTTGGCGGGGATGTGAGAAAAGGGGAACCCTCCTACACTGTTGGTGGGAATGCAAGCTGGTGTGGCCACTCTGGAAAACAGTATGAAAGTTCCTCAAAAAGTCAAAAATAAAGCTATCCTACAGCCCAGCACTTGCACTACTAGGTATTTATCCAAAGGATACAAACATTGTGATTCAAAGGGGCACCTGCACCCCAGTGTTTATTGCAGCAATGTCCACAAAAGCCAAACTATGGAAAGAGCCCAAATGCCCATTGACAGATGAATGGATAAAGAAGATGTGGTATCTGTATACAATGGAATATGACGCAGCCATCAGAAAGAATGAAATCTTGCCATTTGTAGCACTGTGGATGGAACTAGAGGGTATTATGCTAAGTGAAATAAATCAATCAGAGAAAGACAAATACCATATGATTGCAGTCATATGTGGAATTTAAGAAAACAGATGAACGTACAGGAAGGGAAGGAAAAATAAAATAATACAAAAATAGAGAGGGAGACAAAGCTTAAGAGACCCCCCTTTTTTTAAAATATGTTATTTATTTATTTGACAGAGAGAGAGAGAAACAGTGAGAGAGGGAACAGAAGCAGGGGGAATGGGAGAGGGAGAAGCAGGCTCCCTGCTGAGCAGAGAGCCCAATGTGGGGCTCCATCCCAGGACCCTGGGATCGTGACCTGAGCCGAAGGCAGATGCTTAACGACTGAGCCACCCAGGCACCCAGGAGACTCTTAACTGTAGAAGACAAACTGAGGGTTGCTGGAGGGGAGGTGGGTGAGGGGATGGGGTAACTGGGTGATGGGCATTAAGGAGAGCACTTGCTGTAATGAGAACTGGGTAGTTATACGCAACTGATGAATCACTAAATTCTACCTCTGAAACTAAGAATAACTATATGTTAATTAAATCTAATTTAAAATAAATAAATAAATGCAAAGCTTTTCTTAAGTGGTTGAGGAACATAAATCCTAAAGGCCTTTTAAAAATGAAAAAAATTATGGGGCATCTGGGTGGTTTAGTTGGTTAAGCATCTGACTCTTCAGCTCAGGTCATGATCTTAGGGTCGTGAGATTGAGCCCCATGTCGGGCTCTGCACTGAGTAGGCTTTCAGGGAGGCTGCTTAGGATTCTCTCTCTCCCTCTTTCTCTTTCCTCACCCCCTGCGCGCACTCACGCACTCTCTCTCTCTAAAAAAAGAAAAAAGCAAGAAAGAAAAAGAAAAAATTACTCATCTCAAGGCTTATTTAAATGCTGGTTGGGATGATCTCTTCAGTTTTGTGGCACTCCTTGACATCCTGATAGAAAAAAGAAACAGGGGTTAGAACGTAATAAATTTTTTATTAAAGTATATGTGACTCATTTTCTCCTCAGTGTTTTAGCTAATTTACCTGAATTCTTTGTTCATAGACTTTCACTAGACTTGTAATTTGTGATTTCTCTCGATCAGCATATCAAAGACCATTAAAACAAAACAGAACACCGTATACAGTTTTGCTTCACTCATTCATTCATTCTATTACACAACTAGTGACTGAGAACTTATTATGTTGTAGGCAGTGAGCTACAGGAGCTACTAAGAAAGTAAAATATTCTACCCACAAGGAGATGATGGGGAAAATGAAAGAGAGCAGGGAAGTTGATAGACAATTAGAGTGCATTTGCAAAGGGCTGTATAAATACAGGCAAGTACAGGTTACTATAGTAGCACATAGGAGGGGCTAATGGCAACTTCCCAGAAGAAATAACCTCTAATTGGAGATCAAAAGGTGAATTGGGGTTAGCTGGAAACAGAGAAGATATGACTGTCCTTGCAAAGAGCCTGGGATTTTGGAAATCTTGCTTTGTCTGATCTTGATGAGGGAGGGCCTCAGGAAACAAAGTTGTGGGTGTAGGAAGGTGATCATTCATGATGGGCCTCAGGAACCAATCCACATTAGAACTGGAACTTGATCCAGAGAAAATGGGTTAAGGGTTTAAGCTGTAAACTAAAGTGTTGTATAGGCCTGTCAGAAGGATTACTTTGGCTCTAGTTTGGGAGGAAAAAAGAAGGGGCAAAGACCAAAGTACAGATGGTTCAGCTGGTGAAGTAATCAAGGGGAAAGGGTGGGTGATGGGAACTAAGGTCTGAACCAATGCTGAAAGTGGATTTTACATGTAGTCATAGAATTTCTAACATTCCCATGTATATTCTGCCTTTCGTAAGACTCTCTTAGCTGCCATTTTGTCACTAAGTGACAGGATTTCCTCTGGAATGCTTGGTGGTCACGGCTTTCAGCTCAGTGACCATGCTTCCTATTCATGGTTAGGTGCACAGAATGCAAGAACATCAAGCCTTCAAAATCTACCTGTTATTCTGTTGCCCTGGGTGAAATGGCCTCAGAATTCAATCTTCATTTCCAAGGTAGGTTATCTAGAGAGACAACATGATTTTATGTAATTGAGGAAGTCCAGCCCTAATGTGAAGTTTCACTACCCCGTAAGCCTGATTTAGGTTTCAGGGCCATGCTGTCAACATACTACAGTAGCACATCTCGCTAAAAATTCATAGCCCACATTATTTGGAGAATGGGGGATGACTGCAGGTAAACAGACCCATCTTGATCACACTTTACATTTTGCTAGACATCACTTGAGGAGAGGAAGTTGAAAAGAGAAGTACAGAGACGGTGTTGACATGAGGAAATGCTGTTACAAAAAAGAAAAGACCACCAAAATGCAAAACTATAAGATTTGTAGAAGAAAACAGGAGGAGATCTTGTCACCCTGGATAAGGCAAAGTTTTGTTAGAGAGGACGCAAAGAGTACAAAGGATGAAATATTTAAAAGTGGGATTTCATCAAAATTAAAAACCCGTGCTCTTTGAAAATCACTGTTAAGAAAATAACAAGCCAAACCATAGACTGGGACAAAATATTGACAGGGCTCATATCTGATAAATGGTTCTCTATCCAAAATATATAAGGGACTTTTACAACTCAGTAAGACAGACAACTCGATAATAAATGAAAAAAAAAGACCACCAATAAAAACTACATATGTATGTGTATAATGTTTGTCTGTACATAGTGTATGTAAAATATACATGTATTTATGTGTATGTATGTAATTTATTCGGCATAAATTGTTAGAACTGCAACTTGCCCTTGGTGTTTGAAATTGGGAAATCTTAAGTGCTATGTTAGCCTATTCAAATAAAAAAACTGCAAGTCACCAACACTGCAAACATTCAAATATATAATCTGGATAAAAAAATAAAAATGGTAGCCTGCATTGGCCCGGTACATTCAAACATTTGGTACACAGGTTTTTCTGTGTAATGCATGAGAAGTTTCAAGCTAATCATATATTTTAGTGGCCCAAACTGTCCATAGGAGATAATGATAGAAAAATATTTTAATGCATCTACTTCTGCATATGAGGACATTATAATGAAAAACACAATCAAATATATAGATATTTTCAGCAATTCAGGAAAAATAAATTCAATATGTTGTTGAACTAAGTTCCCCAACTGTATAGGAAAATATGTCAACACCCTTTATTGGGGCCTCAGGACAGATCCCCAGCACACTGACTCTTGGAGGGGGGCCAGGAAAAGTAGAAGAGAACAGAAGTGAGGCCGTGGAAAGTAATTTCTGTCTGGGTTGGGATGGGATGGCTGCAAACTCTGATTCTGTACCAAGAATGGTTTCTCCTACTTGAATATTCTGTAACTCAGCCACTTTTTCATCCAGTAAGCTTCTCAGTTTGTTTGGCTGCATCAAGCAGCTGAATACAGACCATAGTGCTGAGTGGTTCCAGCAGAGGGAGGGAAGAAGATTGTGGAAAATTTTCTGAGGATGCCTTCTTAGTATCCTCCCAACCTTTAGAGGAGGACGGAGTGATTGTATTTGACATTTACTTGACATAAATTGTTAGAATTGCAACTTGCCCATGGTGTTTGGAATTGTGAAATCTTAGTAAGTGCTATGTTAGCCAATTCAAATAAAACCGCTCCCAAATTACCAATATTATAAGCAAAGGAGAAAGCAGTAGGGAAATATTAAATTAATACCTTCTTAGTCTCCTACGTAATTGACATTCTGAATCCAATCCACTAAGCAGATGAGAACTTGTAACTCACTTTCTACTTTCCTCTACCCCATGTCTACTTTCTTGCAGAATGGTGTCACCAAAGAGAATATAATTTTAGGTCACCAGTTTCTAGTGATCTAATTCCCCTCATTTCTCTTAAGTCCACTTACTTGCTTCCTGCCATGTCCTCAGGACTTCATTCTTGCCCGAAATTCTACATTGCCTCTGAAACTACTCCTTGCCTACTATCTCTCTTACACTTGCAACATTTCCTTCACATTCCTCACAAAGGGACCTACCAACACTCAAGCTCATTATGGCTTTCCCATACTCACAATTCTTCAGTGGTTCCTAGGAGCCTAAGGCAGGGACAGGCAACATGATCTGTGGATGTTTAAGAAAATCTAGATGAAAGGCTTGATCCCAAACCAACGAAACTGGAATCTCCTGAGTTCGGGCCCAGGTGAGTATTTGAAAAAGGATCTCTAGGTCACACACAGTTAAGAACTGTTTTACAAGATAAACTCTAAATTATTTTGTATGGCATACAGAGCCCTCCCCATTATTTGCCCCCATCTCAGACGTTCTCGGATGACACCTTATATTTTGCTTCATCATTGCTGAACTCCTTTTACTTTGGGGAACACATTTGTCTTCTTTGCCTCAGTGACTTTGTACTTGATTTTACCTTTGACTAGACTGCCCTTTCCTTAAACCATCCTATCTTTCTAGATTTGGTTTCTCTAAGTCTTTCTGTCTTCTCAGCAAAAATTAAATGATCTGTTTTCTGTATTCCTACTGTACTTTGTCCATTGGTCAATTATAAAAATTATTATATTTGTTAGCCTCTTCTAAGAAATCAAAACCGATATTCAAATTTCCATATTCCAGTAACTTGGCTCCAAGCAGGCAGTGAAATAAATATTTGCCAAATCAAAATATGAGTAAACTAATGAATGTGTATGTGAATAGAAATGATTCAACAAAGCTTGTGGATGAGGAAACTGGGAGCTATAAATAAACAGAGGCTTTTGCTATAGCCTTTTATGTTGGAGCTCTGAGTACAAGGCATCCATTTTTGTGAAGAGGGCACTTCTTTTTCTTCTGAAGTTTTCCAAAATACTTTCTACGTGCTTAAGTACAGTTGACCCTTGAACAACAGGGGTTAGAACCACACAGGTACACTTATATATGGATTTTTTCAATAACTACAGGACAGTACTATATTTTCTTTTATGAGTTTCTTAATACGTTTCTTTTCTCTAGTTTACTTTATTGTAAGAATGCAGTATATAACACAGAGAACACAAAATACATGTTAATCGACTTTAGGTTATCAGTAAGGCTTCTGATCAACAGTAGGCTATTAGTAGTTCGGTTTGGGAGAGTGAAAAATTATATGCAGATTTTTGACTGCATGGGGGGACAACATCCCGAGCCCTCGTATTGTTCAAGGGTCAACTGTGTATTTATGCAATTGGAAGGGGAATTTTCTGTAGAACTTTTCTTACGCTAACTTCTATGGTTGGGAAATGATAGTTGGAGACTAGGATTGCCTAGGTAAAAAATAAGTACCTGTTGGTGTCTCAACTAAAATGGAGAATGTGCTGCAAATCTACCTCTGAACAAACACAGAAAAGTCTCTTGAGAAAGGGCCAAGACACCTCTAAAGACCTAGGATCAGAAATAAATGCTTTTCCCCATTTAAGGAGCAGAGTTACCAACTTTGAACATATTCTGGCCTTTTGGGGCCCAAGCTTTGTAGTGAAACTTTAACCTATGGAAAGATGAATGAGTTTAATAAGCACACAGCACAGTTTTCCATTCCTAATGAGGAAGTTTAAGCTCAGAAAACTTTTTGCCCATCAGGAGTCATTCTTCTGTTATTCTGATATGTTTTGTGTATATAAATGAATCAGAAATCATGTGGATTGAATTTCTATTAAACATACTTAGCCTAGTGCATGAAGAGAAAAATCACTGGACATAAATACGAGTGGAGCTGGAATGAACTAGAGAGAGATGTTTAATTAAGCCATATTGTGGCAAGATGAGATCTTTCGATTTCTGGCTACAAAACTCTCGTTTGTGAATTTCCTTTTAGCTTGTACTTCCTTTTCGTCTAGTCATCCTTTAGAAATGTGCAAATGGCTTCTCAACTGGGACTTTATCACGGGGACTTCATAACTTTGATTTAGTCATAGCATGGTTTATACACAGATGTCACAATAAAGACACCCAGTGGGAGGGACTGTATTTGAGTATCCTCTCCCAACCCATCCCCCCCCCACACCACCCTTGGTTGGAGTTGCAGAAATTGGTCTTGGCAGTGAGTTCAGGTAGAATCTTTCCCATCGCCAGCTCGATTATTGCTCTGTATCGGCTGGCAAATCTTGGCTATCAAGTCAGCTGACCCATCTGTTGTAGCAGTGAGTTTTGGTGCCAAACAAACAAGAAAGGCAGACTCCTGGTTCCAGTTGGGCTCTGGTGGTCCACAAAGAAATAGCTATGTGGATTTCCCCATGGCAACCAAACATTTGCTGCTGAATGTCAATCGGAATGAGGGAAAACTTTATTTAAAAACATTTGGAAAGTGGAAGTGAAAAATACTGAATTCTAGCACTCAGAAGCTAGCTGCTCCTCTTTGTGTAATTAAATATTTCCCCTGCTGGGAGTTTATTTTCATTATGTCTGGTAGTTTGATGTTCTGCAACCATAACGGTGTAATGGCATGCTATCTTTACTAATACATTGAATTTATGTCATCCTTTCTCTAAGGGCACTTGTAAACATTCAGTTCAGTTCTTTCTGGACTTTGAGGAGTGTGAGTTTTACCCTGAGGAAGCTAGTCAGTGGCCATGGCATAGTTTTGACAGAACAAGCTGGAGAAAAGGTTTCCCTTTAATAAGATAAAGATGAGCTTATGCAAGGGGCATGTGGAGTGGAACAGCTGTGTTGCCCTCTACCCTTCCTTTTGTTCAAGCTTTACCTCCCTTCAGTGGCCTGGGCTCGGAGATTCCTTGTGGCAGACTTGCACATTGCTGTCCTTATTTGGGACAATTCTTCATTCCCCTTCATAACCATACAGAGAGCCCTTAAGGCATTCCTACACACCTGTATAGGCAGGTTCCTTTTAAAAGATGAACACAGTTTATCGAATAATTCTTAAAATGTGGTACTGTTGTCATCAACCCCAGTCTACTGATCAAGCCATGGTTCTCAATCTTTAGCATTCATCAGAACTGTCTGGAAAGCTGATTCAGTAGGTCTGGTGTAAAGCCTAAAAATGTGCATTTCTCATACCGTTCCGAGATGCTGTTGCTACTGTGGGACCCA